CACCCAAACTAGAGTGCACCCCTAGTCCTCAACACGGCTGTCCTCTCTCGACATTCCCGGTCAGCCAGTAGCATTGGGCTGACGGCCGCTACAACACTGTTGAGGGCACATTTAGTGTGAACATCTTTCAGACGCCAAAAATTGCACCACTTATGGAAGCGACTTTCTTGATACATCTTTGTCCATCCGTTCTGTTCAAAGAGGGCCTTTGAAAATAGGTCGTTCATTATATTCAATGAAAAGAAATTTCACTTATCAGCACGCTCGATAAGATACATGAATCTTAAATGGCAGTTTGTGGGTAATAGTTGGTAAATCTATGGTTCTCATAGTACCGTGGCAACTCCTAGTCAACCAAAAACGGACTCGGCGTACACAGCTAAGTGCTGAGTGATAAGATGATAGCTGTGCTACTTCCGATGGTAGTCAGTAGTATCCGATGCAAAACAGAAGATGTTTATCCAGCCTTTTAGAGCATGGAATTCTTTCGAACTTTGGGTTTTGTTATGTAGCACCTCGTTTGGCCTAAAACTAACCAACGAAAACGCAGTTTCTTGGATCATCGATGCTCCCTTTCCGCTTAATCCTGCGTCATTTCGGAACGCTCGATTCCCCACCGAGTTAGACTCAAATTGAAGGGCTCTTACTCCATTTGAAATTGCTTGCAATCATCAACTGCGCTTTGGACAGCACAGGTCCCCCTCATTCACAGAATTACAGACAAAAACGTGTCTGGAGCGACCTCCTAGCTCTTGATTGACTCAGTGCCCAACAACCGACAATTTTCAACGATTTTACTGTCCTATGCGGTGTTAGGCATCTACAAGATCTAAAAGAAAGGCCTGTTCTGCTACTAACGTCCTCCTGGAACACCTCGACAAAAACGTTAGGACCTCCTAATATAGAACCTCCTAACATTCACGTACACCATATATGCACCCCGCGACGTTCTTTTGGAAAGCCCAATCATCTTGGCACCTACGATGCCGCCTTGATTATTGATGGGACCTTTGCAGTCAAACTGCTAATCTCAGCGAATTGACTAACAACCGTAACAACAATGCCTGTGGATGCAGTACCAGGGTACCCGTGTAACGGTGATACTACTGATGGGAAAGGCCTGCGAGTAGTATGTTTTCTCGTAAATCCGCTTTGCGTCTCTCGGAAAGTGGGATCTATTACGGAATTTGTGGAGTCACATTTGCTTGCACTTGGGCAACAGTCAATGAATATCCAGGAAAGTTCTAGAGGACGCGTTCAAGAGAAGATGGATGTTCAGTTTTTGTAAACAAGATGCATATGCGAGGTTTACTTCCCTGTCCGATAGTCTAATAAATAACTCCGCAGCGAAGACCTTCTTCCTCTCACCCGTATAGTTCAACGAGATTTTAAGGTTCAAAATCAAGTACAGAGGCATGCAGTTATTCCAACAGATCGCTAATTCTGAACCCTCTCGTGAGACCGATATGATCGATAGTCTCCGTTGAACACCACCACTAGCCAGTCTTATAAGACGGGCGTTTGACGTTCCATTTCAAAGGCCACTGTAATTTCGGCAGACCCAGGAGTTCCATTTCCGAGCCTTCCGCCAACGCACCCTCTTTGGAAGACATAACTGCTTCTAAAGATACATCTTAGATGACTCTAACTCACATCCTGTCTAGGTTTTCCAACGTTTTTCCGCACACAAATGTTCTGAAAGCCGAAAAACATCGGAATATTTACAAAAATGCAAAATTCCGAAAGTGTCTGAACATCAATTCTGTTTTTCTTTGCATCGTTACCCTCCATCTTTGGACAAAGGTTGGTCCTAGACGCTCAATCCACCTGTACGAGGAGCAAAGTACTTTTCCCGAATTGCGTGCACTTCTAGAATGCATTGGGTCCTTGTCACGAGAATCAAGAACTTCAACGATGAAATGTCTAATGTTACTGGTGCAAGGAAGAGGGCATTCGCTGAGGAGTTATTTATTAGAAAATGCTAACTGAACAGTTACAGACTATTGGACAGGGAAGCTTTACAAAACTGAATATCCATCTTCTCTTGAACGCGTCTTCCGGGACTTTTCTGGATATTCATTGACAGTTACCCAATCGCAAACAAATGCCACAGAGCGACCTCACAAATTCCGTAATAGATGTCACTTTTCAAGAGACACAAAGCGGATTTACGAGAAAACATACTACTCGCATGCCCTCTAATCAGTAGTATCACCGTTACATTTGTATGCATGGAATGCGGAAGCTGTTCGCTGAAGTTTTGCCACGGTTTGTATACGTCCTAACACATCCGGTTTGTTTGAGCGTCACTCAGGATGTACTGGCAACATTCGTTTTCATTGGTTGATCCAATATCACTGGATTTCGAATATATACCTACACATGACTGAATACCTTAGCTTAACGGAATCCTTAGCGGTCGAGGTACGTGCGTTTATGATTTTTTCACTGTGTAATTGGCCGGAGAGAGCTCATTTTCCGGCAAATTTGAAGTTTATTCTTTTGCGCATTACTCATTTTAAGACTGTAAGCACTAGGCAGTACTTGGTATGTCGTTGAAGCTGTACGCCACGATTGTCGCATCCAATATCGGCTGGTGTTTCCACTTGGACGATCGTCGAATCCAGGACCTTCGACATCCCGATCACCTGCTTAGGCATCTGTTATAGCTTGAGCGAACCATTTGGAGAGTGAACGTTCAGTTTGTTCCTGCGATCCCTAAGAGTGACCATCTAAGTTAACGCTGTCAGATGCTTTTGCTTTCAATGGATCAGATGGAAGATATTCTACAATTTGTATTCTATCTGCTGATTCGTCAGTCTGTGGTATCTGCTGCTGACCCGCTCCAGTGCCCAGTGCCTGGAAGAAGACTCACAGAACGGAACACAACAGCTATATTTCGAACAACTGAGTGCGAGGACCGAAGTTACAACAGCCCAACCCCATTTAAATGCGACTTTCTGACATTGACCCAGGCGGCTTGATAAGCCTTACTGAACACCCATCAACATCGATCGTGCCTCTATGAAATGCCTGAAATGCTGATCACATTCGCTCATGCTTCTGTGGCGTGCATGAACACTCATCGGCTTTTGCTGAATTGATTGAATACTTGACTGGCCTGGATGCTTTCCGGCTTTGATGCTTGCCGGTTTTCCATTTGAGTTTTTGGTGGAGCAGTAGGTTCTGGGCGTGCTGAGGTTAATTTCAAGAATCTGACCTTCCCGATAGTTTGTAGGTGAGAGCTGAATGAAGAGGCTAGCAAAAGACCAGCAGATTTAGAAGTGCTGTACGGTTATTACTTGTGTTGGGTTATCGGAAAGAACCAGTTTTTTTTAAAAAAAAGACTTCAAAAGGAGTGACAAATGACCTGACTGTGTGAAAGGGGATAGACGACGTCAAGCTAAATCGCCAAATCAGTGTATAAAAGATCTCTGACTTCTGAGACAAACGATTAGTCTACTCAACTGACATCCCAAGTGGAGCGTAGCCGAAATGTGTGATGTAGCTGCCTCTGAAGCACGAACTTGATGAAGCCAATCTTCATTGTTTTTTTTTTGAAAACCAAGGGTGATCGTCCGGGTATGTTCAGCCGCTTTGAAGTATAAGCGGGAAATGGAGCGATCGACTTCAATGTTTTAGAAGTGAGGAATCAACGATTTTGGCATAAAACTCGCTAAGATATGTAGTGGCTTATGACAATTTCTGCGGGAACTCTGAGACGACCCATTAGCGGGAGGCAGACAGTGCGGACAGGCGAACTCACCTCCATCCTGACGATACAGTTTCAAATAAAACCATCCGCATTACAGAATATACTTGTCGAGAAAGTTTAGAGTTCACCTCATGTCCTTGCTCAAGAGTATTCCTAAAGCCCAAATGATGGTGAGGTGAGTGTGTGTGTGTGGGGGGGGGCTAGAGGTAATGCGTCTTTCAGATGACAAAAGCAACACCTAACCTTGGAAATCGCTTTCAGTTTGACGAGAGGGCCCGAGGTGTTTGCTAGATTTCATTGGACGCGTAGGGCATGGCCGATAAGGACGGAATTTTTACGTATATATCACTGAGATCTAATTCGTTGATGAAGCTTCGGGTGCAGGTGGGTTACCAGTCGCTCCATGGATGGATGTGTAGAACCCAAAGAAAACCGACTTAATGGGTTTATAAAACTCAAGAGATATTTTGAAGCATGGTCAGTGGTGTTTTTTTCACGAGAGCAGTTCTTTTTGTGTTAAAACGGAGCTACTGTATGCGGAGAGTTTTCAGCCTTCGGTCAGGATTATTCTTTGCGCCACCCACGAAGAAATACCACATACGAATACTGTTGATGTACACTCCAACATAAGTTCACAAGCATGGAACCCGTTCTGAGTTCCGTATGGAAAAGGATGGATGAAAGACGGGGTTGACCGCATTAATGAACGAGAAAACATACTACTCGCATGCCCTCTAATCAGTAGTATCACCGTTACATTTGTATGCATGGAATGCGGAAGCTGTTCGCTGAAGTTTTGCCACGGTTTGTATACGTCCTAACACATCCGGTTTGTTTGAGCGTCACTCAGAATGAACTGGCAACGTTCGTTTTGATTGGTTGATTCAATATCACTGGATTTTGAATATATACCTACACGTGACTGAATACCTTAGTTTAACGGAATCCTTAGCGGTCGAGGTACGTGCGTTCATGATTTTTCACTGTTTAATTGGCCGGAGAGAGCTCGTTTCCCGGCAAATTTGAAGTTCATTCTTTTGCGCATTACTCATTTTAAGACTCTAAGCAATAAACAGTACTCGGTATGTCGTTGAAGCTGTACGCCATCATTGCCGCATCCAATATCGGCTGGGGTTTCAAATTGGACGATCTTTGACTTCAGGACATTCGACATCTCGCTCACCTCCTTAGGCATCTGTTGTGGCCTGGGCGAACTATTCGGAGTGTGAACCTTCAGCTTGTGCCTGCGATCCCTAAGAGTGACCATCTAAGTTAACGCTGTCAAATGCTTTTGCTTTCAATGGATCAGATGGAAGATATTCTACAGTTTGTATTCTATCTGCTGATTCGTCAATCTGTGGTATTTGCTGCTGACCCGCTCCAGTGCCCAATGCCTGAAAAAAGACTCACAGAAGGAAATACAACAGCTATATTTCGAACAACTGAGTGCGAGGACCGAAGTTACAACGGCCCAAAGCAATTTAAAGGGGACTTTCTGACCGGTCAGTGTCGGTGATCATAAAAACTACCGATTGTTTACCAAGCTCTTCTGAAACGATCACTGAGATTTAATTCGTTGATGAGGCTTCAGGTACACGTGGGTCACCAGTCGCTCCATGAATGGACGCGTGAAACTCCTGGAAAACCAACTTAATGGGTTTGTAAAACTCAAGAGATATTTGAAGCATAGTCAGCGGTGTTTTTTTTTTCACGAGAGCGGCTCTTTGTGTGTTAAAAACGGAGCTACTGTATGCGGCGAGTTTTCGGCCTTCGATCAGGATGATTCATTGCGCCAGCCACGAAGAAATACTGTATACGAAAGCTTTTAACCTCCAACATGAGTTCACAAGAATGGAACCCGTTCTTAGTTCCGTGTGGAAAAGGATGGTTGAAAGACGGGATTAACCGCATTAATGAAGTAGACATCTAGAGGCTAATGGAAAATATGGTAGTTTTGAGGCCCCAAAGCAGCTACGTTGAAATTGTTTAAACGTATAAAAAACATGGTGTTTAAAAGATGCGCCAAGAATGTATTGGCCCGCCCAATCTAATATTGTAAAGATGTGGTCAGTAAGGTAGACGATGCGATTATTGAGAACTACCACATCGTGTCTACGGAGGCCGGAATGTTTCAACTTTTGGTAATCTGGAGATAACCCGCCATCCTCCTGCGGATCGGTAAACCGAAATTTTAAAGTAACACACTGTTACAGGAAAAGCTCTCATTTTCGGCCGATGGATTGATTTCTAGGAACGTGAAAGCCCACATCCGAACGAAATAAATTCACTGTGCTTTTTCGAACTTCCGACATTGTTCATCGACATTTGCGGCTTATGCCAACCCTAGTGAAACGTGTTTTGCGATGCAACGAGATCGCAATGTCCAGGCCTGTTGAACTTTCAGGGCATGAAGCAAATACTTCCCGACTGTGCATTTTACGTTTTGTTTTAAACGATCAATTCTGACATTACTCCATTTTGTCCGAAAGTGTTCCACGTTCGAAAGTGATGTTATCGGGTATCATTTCTACAAACGGTACATCTAACCGCCGAAAGTAGTGTTGGGAGATTCGAAAATTTTCGATTGGAGTTTTGTCCAAAGCCCAGAAGTACTGTGCAACTGATTCCTCCTCGTTGGAGATCATCAGCAGTGTGCATTTCCCCCAAACGCCACTGGAAAGTTTCGAACACGCAGCCACCAAGATACAAGTTTGAACTCTTAGCCGTTCGGCGACTGTCCAGCACTTTGATTAACTCGCATTTAGACAGGATGTAAAACACAGTGTCGACCAGAAGCTGGCGACCGAACGGTTGCGCGTACGAAACTCTATCTCTACTGGTGTTTCGTGAGATGCGCACTGCTGATGAGTTTCAAACCCGAAGCCAGCCAGAGAGAAGTTTGTACTCTCAACCGTTCGGTGGCTGATCAGCACTGTGATTAACTCGAATTTAGACAGGATGTAAAACACAGTGTGGACCAGACGCTGGCTACCGAACGGTTGCGTGGACGAGACTCTACTGGTTTTTCGTGAGATGCGCACGGCTGATGTTTCCCAATAGGGATGAAACAGTGCTTCGCGGCACATCAGCGTAGAGTGGACCCATTGACGGGGTGTAATCTCAGTTATCTGGGCTGCCGACTCCCGTTATGGTTGACACCACACTCGTTTTTTTCAAAACATTGGTGCAAAATGTCTCTCCTTCACTCATAAGGAATGACTCGCGGTGCTTTGTTCGAACTTGAAGAATTCAGCCAAAATGTTCAACGATAGTTCTGCTCAGAGATACCCTCAGATAAAAGCTCCAGACACCTTTGCGCTTTTGTCGCACAACACGTTTTGATAGGGTTATCGCCAGATAACGTTTTCTCGAACAACAATTCTCTATCGGATACCAGACAGATGTTCGGCGTACTTGTTTCGTCTGTAACTGGGTTCAAACTTGAGTGTCGTGATGTACAGTTTGGCCTGAGATCTATCTAATTTTTGCCTTAACTGTCATCAGATTTGACGCTTAGCCATTCCGCAGTTTGCTACAGCAAGTCTAAGAAAACACGACAACCAATTCTCGTTTGATTTAAACGACTTTCTCCATAACAAAAACGAGTATACAACCCTAACTCAGAGAACTAACATGCCGGATTCTCGTAATTGGCAGACAGTGATTGATTTTGAATCTGACTGGGCAAACTACGGACACTTGCGACATCTTATTTAGCTGTTATTATGCATCGGTTTCGTTCATACGTTAAGAATTGGGAGTGTGCAAGATGCCTCACTCGGGGAAGGACGGCACACAATCTTCTAAGCTGTAAAGCAGGAGGTCAAAAGGTCTTGAACTAAGGCTTTCTAATCACTGTGTATAGCTTATGTTAAGCCCCTTTTCCTCCTTCTTTCGTTCGAACTTCATTTCACATGATAGCTTCCGCTATGGGCTAGAATTCTGGCGTGTAATTGCTGCTATCAGCTATCAGACACACAAATAAAAAGGTCAACATTCTGAGTACTCTTTCTGAGCTATCCTTAGAGTTGTTTGAATCATGCACACGGCCGAAGAATTGAACAACTCGACTACTACTTTCACGTTCCATCAGTAGTATAGTAAATAAGGCACCCCCGTCTAAAGTTTGCACGCACGACATTGATGGTCGGGTGCTAGATCATTCAGTAGATCCTTAGGAGCAGCGTGTCACTTCCGGAACTGGCTCCCATTTAATCGTCTTTATTCTCGGACGTACGACAGATTCGTACAGCCAACTGCCGAACTCCCGCGATCCCAGTCCACTCGTTCCAGGATTCTGGTGATCATTTCATTTGAACTCCGTTCCTATCGGGAGTAATCAGATCTTCCTACCTGCCGCCTTTTTTTAGTCCATTCCTGTAAAACAACCATGCTTTCTCCCAACTTCCTCCTTTCATCTGCTCAGGAGGCACACCGAAATTCGGCCAGATCGAGATTTGTGGATGAACTAGAGGGGGTCTGGACTGTGGACATCAACAAGAATGTGACCTTGCGTCTGCAGTGGAGGCCTATGTTGTTGTCATTAGATATACGAAAACAGATCATGCAGTTTGGGATTGCAAGTCGACGTGATTGAGCACGGCTCTGAGTGAACTGTGATCAAGAAACCAATAAAAGTAGAGCGACTACTTAAATGGTCTCCCTAGTAGTAAGAAAAAATTCGAAACAAGTCGAGAAGTTGGAAACTGGTTCCCTGGTTTACCTACTCTATATAACTAAAGGCGGGTTGTGAATCATGTTGACTGTCCGTAAATGTGAAATGTAACTTATTATTGTTCGTATCAAATGAGCAAAACAAGTTGTATTCAGTGGTCCTTTTTTGGGAGGCAAACACTCTTCATCAAGTAGTGGATGGGAGTAAAGTAAAGTAAACTCTCAAGGGAGGGCGTCCAAGCTTTGTGGGAGATATTCTTTGCTTCATTCCTTAGTATTTTTGTGTTGGCAATGGGATCCGTTTGCATTTCGCATCCTTCCATCAAGCTTTCATATTTCCAAGTTATTCTGAAACAGTTCCATTGAAGTAAAAACACTGTTCACCTTCATCCCTTAAGTATCGTGTTCCACTTTCCAATCCGTAGCATTGAAGCTGTCTGGTATCAAACTCGCCTGATGGAACCCAACAAAGTTACCGATAGTGGTACTGTGTGTGTTGCTCCTATGGCCGGCCTGCTCCAATCTGTCTCAGTTAAGGTTGGAGACCACGTCACCGACGGTCAAGAGCTCTGTGTCCTTGAAGCGATGAAGATGCAAAAAAGCTTGTCTGCTGCAAAAGCTGGCGTGGTGAGTCCAGATGTATTTGCTTGTACTGAGGTGAGGGCGGTGTGTCCTTCTCAGTTGTATTGATTGCTTGTTTATTCATTTTGTGTATCATCAACAAACTGTCTGGCCAGAAACGACAGGTCTGTTGATGATCTTTGTACCATTAGGCTCAAGTTTCATATCACAAGGGAAATGAAACATTGGACTCTTGTTGGTTCTTCTTGTTTTTCTTTCGGCTTAAATTGAGCTGTAACACAGTTTTCGTGCCTAGCTGTCATGCCACCCGAAGGAATTACGAGGGCTGGGATACTGCCAGGTCACCCCAGCCCAGACAGGAAAAGTCGACAGGCAGAGGTCGGGTTCAAACCAGAGACGTACCGATCAGTAATTTGGTGCTCTAACAACTGAGCTATCTCCCCTCTCCACAATGACAATAATGGTTCAGCGGTTGTACCTTTTTGGTGCATTACAGTTGTTGCAGTTCTGTGAAGGTATCATGATCTCAGCAAAATGCACTCGTTTGCATTCAAATGTGGTTTTTTCGGAAGACCCACTTGGAACCCAACTGAAACTCTTGTTTATGACGTTTTAAGCAACTAAATGTGCTTCACCTGGCTCATTCATGTTTCGGTTGGTCCGATATTCGAGATATTGCAGAACATTTTCGTAACAAAACTACTTGCAAGGTTGCTGAAGACTCTTCGCTATCGCACGATCGTTTCGCCCTTCTTGGAACTCATTAGGTAGGCTCAGTCCCCAAGTTTCCATCAAACTTATGTTCTACTTGAACCTAAATTGGACTGTTTTCGAGAAATAAACTCATTTGCGAATCGGTTTATGAAAACATAGTGCGATATCTCGAATATCGTGCCAACTGAAACGTGAGACGGCCTGTGTGCAGCACATTCAGTTGTAGAACATCATAAACGAGAGATTCAGTGGAGTCTCTCATGAAAACCTAATTGATTTGCAAATGAATGTGGTTCTCGAAAGCCATCAGTTTTGTTTTCTCAGCGAGACAATGAAAAATCAGCAAACTCAACTAGTCGCCGTACGATGAGTCTTTTTTGGAAGTTCAATTATGCAAATACGTTCTTCCTACTCGTTAAAGCGTTCCCGTTCCAGGTTAGTGGCTTAAACATTCTATGTTTACTGACCCGTGTTTTCGAACAGCTGCTGTTGTTCGTGGGTGACGCGCCCAGGGCCAAATGAACCAAAGCGAGGCATTTCTCCCACAATCATTCACTAGTTCAGCAAAATTGGAAGGTTTACCCATAGCTATTCCACTATCGTGTGGTTTCCGCACATGTTTATACACATCTCCGGGGCGAGTATACTTGGTGTTTGGTCGTGGATCAGGTGGCAGCTGAGCTGTTTACCGAGCTTGGCAATGGGCTTGCGGGCACCTTCGCCATGCCCTGAGACATCGTTAGAGTGTGGTTGAGTTGATAGCTGCTTCATGTCTGCTTGTGCCTACCTAGTTTCTGATTGGTTGTTTGGAAATTGACCAATCAGTAATTTAATTGGACCCTCTGCGATTTGGACTGCGTTGTGGTCTGATGACCCTACATCCGGTTAGTTCATTTTGCTTTTCTGGTAAATTTCCTTCCTACGGAAGAAAAGCAACGGTTTTGAACTTTGATGTCACGCTATCCATGATGATGATGATGACGATGATGTTGCGTTTCAGCTATGCTCATCAAGTAAGACATATACTCAAATATCCATGGACTGATTTACTTCACAGTATTGTGATGGCGAAGCACTGTTTGTTCATGGATATCTGGAAATTATCGAAGACCATTACACGACTTTCTAATTTGTTTGCATAGACCACTCGAATCAGTCAGGCAGACCGAAAAGATATTCAGATAGAATTTAATGTCAACCTTGTACTCAGTCTAACGGTGAAAAAACAGTTGTCCACTGCCTTGCTGAGTTTAAATGAACCCGATCTATTTAAAACGAACCTGAGCGGTCGCTGGGTCCTTGCATAACACAACACCGGTCTGGTACAAAGCTGAAAATGTAGATTTTTAATGAATATACTCTCATCCGCTTGTCCTTATTTTTCCTTAGTTCAGTGTTATGTACTTCACTAAAGAAAGCCAAGCATGCTATATTTTTCTTCTTGGTAGTCTATCACTCATCTGGTTATCGACACTCCTTCAAATTCTGAATTCTCTTACGTCATAAAGTTTGACCCCAGAACATCCTTCCCCTCATTATCATGTGATTTTTTACACCCAGGTAAAGAAAGTCAACTTCAAGGCTGGCGACAACGTTGGAGAAGGCGATGTGTTGTTCGAGCTTGAATAAGTGAGCCGTTTGGCTCACCAGATTTCAACGCAAACACTCTGGTTCCTCCTTATCTGATCCGTACCTCACCATGTTTTGTGCTTCAAGTCGAACAGATGAAAATCCAGTTAAATCTTTCTACTTTCTTGAACAGCAACTCTTGTTTTTCTTTCTATTAGAGTGGACGGTTCGCCTTTTTGAAGAGTTTTCAAAGATAACTGATTTCAAGAATTGTGCTCTCCATCTGCACCAATGAGAACCCAAGATGTTGTTCTCCAGATCTGTCGTACGTAAAAAGGTCTAACGCTGGTTGCACGGAATTACTAACGCTGTGGATTTATTCTCTGACAACTGTAGAACAACCGGACTGAAGGACGAGATTTCCTGCTCCTAAGTTCCTCAGTTTGTTTCACAATCAATTCGGGGTGACTGTACACAGAAAAAAACAAGAACTGGATGTATTCCAGTTGAACGATCGTCACAAGTTTCATATACCAATCAGGAAATGAGTTACAAAACGTGACAGCCACTCACTATCAGTATTTCGCTCCTGTCGATCTCGATAGCGCCGATTCATTCTGACATTAGCGACCTTCGAGCTTGGAGTCAAGATGCGTTTAGGTGTCGAGGTCGCTATAAAATTCTTCGCTCGAATGAAATGACTGTGTAAACAAAGCAACCAAATTAAGTAGTATGTTGTCGATGTGAGGCGATTTGTCAAGTAATGAAGCCAGCCTATGCTGAAAAGTGGAGAAGCACTGTACAGCTGCTTTATTCCCGTTGCGAATCACCAGCAGAATATGAGTAACGAGAGCTGTGCCATTCGTGACCGATCAGTCGCGTTCAAACAGTTACCTGGGAGGTAGCGGATTCAAAACCCGCTAAGTTTCCGTGGGGTGCTCATAGCTATACTGTGCTTCTCGACTTTTCAGCGTAGAATAACCTAACCCCTGTAATTTAGTAGTGTGAGGAGATTTGAGAATGATTTCGTTTTGTAAAGCCAATCAGTTATGAAAATCCGGGAAACACTTTCTTACATTTATGAGGAATAATCAGCACAGTGGATTGCCAGTCCAGTGGGGTTTCCCCGCGTGGGTTCGTATCCCATCCCCGTCGCCGGTATTGTAGTTCACAGTAAGTCAGAAGAACACTTAAGTACTGACACGGGTGTATTGTGTACACGGCGGTCAACTGGTCCGCTTTCGTGGGGGTAGCAAACAACTGAGTACATATCCAGTCCACCCACAACCCAGTCACGCGATCAAATCAATCGGACACGCATCCAATCCGCCACTCAAGTCATACGCCAGATCGATGGTGGACCGACAAACGGACACGCACTCGCGCAAACTCTCTGGCACACTGAAACAGTTTTCAAATCACAAACTTCGGCCTCCAGTGGTTGTGCGAATGGCTCTCACATAGACAGGACATAGCCCTACTCACCTTTCAATCACGGATACCACATCACATGGTCACGGATTGATTAGCTCCCCAATTGGTGACTTTTCAGATTGAAGATCCATGCAAACTCTGATCCCATCCATCCTCTGTAGGTGGCCAAATTGAAGAATAATTCAATAAGACGAGTAGCTCCCCAATTGGTGACTTTCCGGATTGAAGATCCATGCAACCTCTAAGCCCATCCATCCTCTGTACGTAGCCAAATTGAAGAATAATTCAATAAGACGAGTATACCATTCACTTGAGATGTCATCAATCAAGGAGCCAGTGAAAGCTTGTGACCGTCTGATATGAGTTAACTGGTTGAATAGTGACCGATACAATATCCTACTGGTCAGCCGCTTGCGGCCATAAGGCGAATTGTTCAAACTATCAGACGAAAGGTCGCGGATCCGAAACTTTCTGCTCGATTTTTGTGAGATGAGCACTGCTGATAATTCCTAATAACAATGAAACAGCTTCCCAGCCTTTCAGAATAGCTTGCAGGAAGAACTTTGGATTAAAATGTATGGTAAACCAAACATTCGGCTGATATTCCACAGAGTCTTTCGTCAACGCAAGATCGGGGCTCCATACACCTGAGAGGAATAAAAATCAAATGAAGGAGGGTTGAGTGAGGGATAGGTCAATGGGTCACAGGATCAGCTAGGTGACGTCAATGTCAGACAGACTTGTGGGACCAGGTGTTTCGTAGGCCAGTTCAGGTTCAGAGGTCGCAAAAGTTTCTCCTGGATGCAAAATTGCGGATCCGGCAGTCGGATTCTAATCGCCTCTGCGATCGATAGTAGTTTGGATCGTACCAGTCGTGATCGGTTCAGAGGTACCCGGTATATGACGATGAAGGCTTGCTCCTTGTCTATGACATGACTGGGTTCGGCCAAATGTGATGCAATCGCGCTTGAGCCTGGTTTCTTCCAACTACCCCTCAGAGATACGGAATTGTGTTATCACATTCTGTCCGACAAATGCCTTGTCGTACAACTAATGTATGATGCTCGGCACGAGCATACAAATGAGTACACGCAAAAGCTGGTGGGAGAACGTGGCAACTTGTTCTTAAAGCGGAATTTGATGGTGGGGCTGGAGTTGAAGCTCAAACACAGACTAGCGGCCAAGTCTGTCGTATCGACAGAGTTTCTAAGCCGTCTGGTGATTAGTTCGGCAACCGAGACACCTTTGAATGAAAGCTTCATGTAGACGGGCTTCTTCCCAACAGAACATTGTATAAGTTTGGGCTTAACGGCTTTTATAGTCTTGAGTGCGAACATTTCAGGATATCCGTTCTGCAGGAATGTTCGTCCAAAGAACTTTAGTTCCTCTTCTAAGCAGTCGGGGGAGCATACCTTCATTGCTGTCTCAGTCAGGCATCTAATTAGTTTGCGCTTTTGTTGCAACGGATTGAAGCTATCAAAGTGAAAAAATGATCTTTCAACCTTTGCTTTCTGTTTGCCTTGCGTTCTATGGTCCCGTCAGTCCTCCTTTTAACAAAGGACTATGAAAGTCCGGTTATGGAAAACCTGTTATTCGATTATGAAGTCATCTGGATGTCGATTTGAATGCCACATTTAACCTCTGGGTGCCAAAAAGATCGGAATCGTCGGGGAGCAGTCGAGAAATGACCATAGTTAGTGTTGGGTCAAAGTGGCTATTTGGTCCGTCCTCATTAGCGTGCAGTTTTTGGGGTTTTGCGGGATAGGTATCTTGTTCATAGTCACACTACGTTCGTTTGGACGGCCGTCCTCTTGTTCTGGCGTAATTATTCCGGTGAGTCCACACCAAAGCGAGGCACTGGACTCGAGTTTCACTCTTATTAGAGCTCACCAGCAGTGCATATCCAATGGCCGTGCCGGGATTTGAACCCCGGACATCTGACATGCGAGGCGAGCGTGTAACCACTACTCCACCAACACACGTTGGACGCATCTGAATTTTCACGTCTGAACAGGCGAACGTGTTCACACTTGAGCGATGTGATTGATGTGCCCGACTCATCGAATTCTGCTGACGCAACTGCAAGGCAGAACTCGCACGAGGTTTGGTTTCATTCAGTTCCATCAAAGATTTCCGCCGGCTACTAGCGACAACACCATGAAGTTATCATCGGATACTGGAGATCAGCGAAGGATCACTGGGGAATCGCAAACTGACAGGCGCTGTGAACATCATGCCACGCTGCAATGCTCACTAAATACACAACTGGGCCCGGTGGGAAGGTGTCTGAGTGTGTGAAGAGAGCGACGACTGAAAAAATCAGGGCAGTATCAGGCGTTTTGAAAAACTGACTGTCTAACTTTCCAAGACTCTTCGTAGGTATGTGTGCAGCCAATCAGAAAGAGAGCCAACCTGCTGGCACTCAGGAGGAACCGAAACTGGGAGTAATAAAAACAGAACAAAGCAATTTCATATAAAGGGTATCTCATAATAAACGCAAAATTTAATTGGGTAAGTAAACGAAGCCAAACATCAAAAAGGATCACAATTTGTTTTACTGTTAGTAGCCACATAAAAGAGGTTTTGTGTGCAGCTGTTGAATTTTTTTATTTACTACGGGTGTCAGTACGTGCATTGAAGTTGTGGAACTCTATTATTCCCTTGGTGAAAGCGCCACCGCTACACCTCGTGGCTACAAACCTAACATGGTCTCTTCAAAGATCCTTTCATCGTGTCGACCATTGCACGCTTGATTGCGGAATTTGAGTCCACTGGATCTGTATTGGATCTTCTCGGCAAAAAGAGAAAGTCTCTGAGTGATGAAAAAGCGCCCATAGTACAGAATGCCGTCGAGCAACTTCAGTCCCAGAGCACCATGGCATCTTCGTCAATAACTCAGGTGTCTCAGTTGACCGGCATTCACCGCGCCAGCGTGCATCGTATTATGAAACGCCGCCTTTATCTCAACAATAAGACGCTCCACCCCACCACTCAAACCAGGTGAGAAGTTACCTCCGAGAGCAATTCTTTTGATGAGAGAGTCATTGCTTGTGGATTTCCAAACTTTTGGCCCTCAAAGTCACCCGATCTCACACCTCTGGATTATTGGTTTTGGGGAATGATCAAAGCTTGCGTATATCATGAAAATAAACCGAAGAATTCGGTGGAGTTAAGTGCAAGAAGTAGTTAAACATGCTGTGTCTCAAATCTCATACCACGTCCAACTTGTTATAGAAGGGGCTGTTTTTACATCTTTTTACAGTAAACCTCCATAATGCATAGATATGTACATAAAAAATGATGAAGCTAGCCTTAAAGTTTTAACATGAGTATTATTTTTGCGTTTATTATGAGACGCTCTGTATTTCGTCACCAGGGCTTATCGGCTGTAGTCCATAAATCACCCTTACAGTATGAAGACAACAACCCGGTATTTTCTCTTTTGAACGTATTGACCGCAACTGAGCGGTTAGGTGGTGCACGCATGCACCCTTTGACTACGCCAGTTGCTGCAACAGGCGAAATCCGCATAGAAGAGCTTGGCCTTTTTAAAGTTATTCCTTCCCTCATTGACAAGTTAGTTTACCCCATGGGATACATTCTAGCTCCCGTAAAAAGATAATCAAATCAGTGCGAACATATATGGTATACACAAAACCAGATGATGTTGCGTTTATATGTGATAAACTTCTGTCTGTATGCGGCAACGCGCCTTCGGTGAACTTTCACGCTAATGGGGACAGATGGTGCAACTGATCCTATCAGGAAGGTCAGATTCCTAAATGTAACCTCAGAACACCCGAAGCAGCAAAATCGGCAAGCATCCAGGCCAGTCAGTCATTCAATCAATTCAGCAAAAGCTTATGAGTGTTCATGCACGCCGCAGAAGCATGACCGAATGTGATCAGCGTTCAGGAATGTCATAGAGGCACGATCGATATTGACTGGTGTTCACTAACGCCTATCAGACAACCTGGACCAATGCCAGAAAGTTCCCTTTAACAATGTCAGAAGTCCCCTTTAAATAGCGTTGGGCCGTTGCAACTTTGGTTGTCACACTCACTTGTTCGGAATACAGCTGTTGTGTTCCCTTCTGGGAGTCTTTTTTTCAGGCACTGGGCACTAGAGCAAGCCAGCAGCAGATGCCACAGGTCGGTGAATCAGCAGATATAACAGATCCTTTGTAATACAGGGCCAACTACCGACGGGACTAAATGTGCATGGATTTTGTAATTTGCTCCGAGGGCTGCTTGAGACCAGTAATCATCATCACCACAATCGTCAGATGTAAAATACACCGTGTACCTGATGTATGCGGATTCCAGCTGTCACAGTTTCCTTCGCCGTTGATTTAGAGAGGTGCGCTAAGTAGCTGTGCCTTGGGGGCGGTAGTTGATACAATGGATGCGTAAATACAGGGTTGTCAATGGACTTTGAATTGGGGAGTCTGGGAAGGGAGCTATGAAATTTGGCAACAGCTTGGAGCACCACTGAAGACGCAGCTGGGTCGTCTGACAATGTCTCTTACCAGTGATCTGTCCCGTCTCAAGGTCACCTTCCAGATAGACGGCAATGACCAGCGCAGATGAAATTACGGGCAATAACTTACACTATTCGTCGCCAATCAATGTCTCATCTCCAGTGACCCGATTCCACCATCGGATGGTTGTGTAAGAAGGGCTCTTCGAGGAAGTCGGTCGACTGCCACACAGAACACTTTACCAAGCGAGAGTGATCTATGGAATGTGCTCACTTCATCTACCGCAGAAGAATTATTTCTTCAGAAAAACTTTGATGTACTTCAGCCAGCTTTGAGCAACAATCCAAAGACTAGGCCGTCAAATATGGAAAGTTTTTCAAGTCATTGGTGCGCTGCCGCTAAAAATACGGAGCGCACCGCAAAATGGAAAACTTGACACTTGGCAGATAAGTTGACCAGTAGTAGGCATGAAAATTGTTTTGTTTTGTCACGAAAAACGAAATCCATTTATCTTTTGGCTTCATGAGGACTAGCCTTCAATTAGTCAGGACATAACAACGTTGGTCATGCGATCCTCATCACCTGGTCACCTAGACCATGTGGCTGCTCAAATGGAGACTTCTCAGATGGAAGTTTCACTCATCTTGTAAAATTATTCGTCCTCCTAGGCATCTGTCGATTGATGCTAGTGTGACCTGGTACCTGAGGGTAGCAAGCACCATCCTGCTTCTACTCAAATCGCCCGCCGACAACTGCGGTTTCGAAGCCCAGAAACGAAAAAATTCAAGTGAAATAAATTGCACGCTGAAATTCCGACGAAGAACCCAGACCTCACAGCGACAGCATGAACAGCATAGAATAGAAGCAAACTCAGGAGATAAACCCGATGCCATGTTAACACATGTTGACTTTAGGACAAATAAGCCCGGATGAACTACTCATAAGGTTGCTGAAACTCAAGAGATAAACCCGATGCCATGCTGACACATGTTGATTTGAGGACAAATAAACCTGGATAAACTACTCGTAAGGTTGCTGAACATTCTTCGACAACCTAGTTCTCTGTCGTAACCACAGTAATTTTCAAATGCGTGTGCTCACCCACATGTTGGATGTTTTGTTTTGCATCACAAACGTTGCTGACCTTTTGACCTGAGGGCTCAGAGCAGTCCTTACAACCCTTTATGCTTCCAATACGACTATTTGATTGTTCCGTTCTCTCTGGTATATTCATGGTCACTGCACTATCGTACACCCAGGGTGTTTGCCAGTAGGGTCCTCATCGCTCATTTGCCATCTGTTAAGTCATTCTGAAGGGGTCGTTCGACCAGAACAAAACGTCGACAGAGCTCCTGATTACAAAGCCGTTGTAAACATTCGCATTCTCGGACTGATTGATGACAATGTTTCATAGAACCACCGAAGTAAAACAATACGACTGACTTGACCAGAAAGCCGGCGATCCTGACCTATCGGATGATTAGACGAAGCCAGTTCTGGATGTTACACAAACTCACGTCATTCCCGAGTACAAATTAGAGGTTGGATTAGAGAGCTAGTGTTGAAATGTGAGAAGAGATGTCTTGTGTTTCCGAGTGAAGAGTAACTATTCCCTTTTCGTGGTTATCCCAAGTACGCACATCCATTCGAGTACACAGAGGAAATTTGCCAAACCGGATAGTCTAAGGCAGCGTTTTGTCTTTCAACTGGTGTACACTAAACCCACCTATATTGAGCG